ATCAGTCTGCAGAAAATGAAACAAGATCCTTACCAACCGACTGGAAGAGATCCATGTGTGTCCCCATTCCAAGAGAATGTGGCCTTATCAGAGTTATGGACTCTGACCATACTCATTCAATCCATATGCTGAGCAAAGAATCCGCGAAGTTGGACTATACGAAGAAGGTTGCATCAGGATTGTAAGGCTTATTAACAACCTGCAATAAGCAGACAACACAACCCTGATTGCTAAAAATGAGGAGGACTTGGAGCACGTGCTGATACAAGTCAAGGCTTGAAGCCATCAGAATGGATTATAAATCGATACAAAGACATAAAAACACCCCCAAACTGAACCAGTAGATAACATCATAATATACAATAAAAAATGGACGTTGTCAAGGATTTCATTTTGCTTACATCCACAATCAATGCTTATAGAAGCAGGAGTCAAGAAATCCATTGACCAAGGCGCGGTGGCAGCGGTGGCGGCGGCTGCCGTGGTCGCGCGGGAGCAGGAGGGGGCGCGCCGGGGTGAGGGCCCAGGAGCTGGGGCTCCACCGCCTTGGCCTGGGCGCTGGGATGCGGCTTGGCCGGGTGGCCTGCACCCCTGGGACCGAGCGTCTCGTTTTCCTTCCGCCCTGGCCAGGGAGCCTAGCGGGGCCCAGACTGCCCTGGCTCCCTTTCCCGCCTCGCCGCCTTGCCCCGCACCTGCCCTGCTCTGGCAGGGGCTCCCCTTGCTCTTCCTCTGCATCCTCTCTCCCCTCTCCTCCCAGTGCTGCTGGTTGCACCTCCCGGTGGCCTGCTGGGGAAGCTCCATAGGTCAGAAGCTGGCCTTGTGCTCGTGTCTGCACTCCCTTCCTCTTGTCCCCAGGACCCGCACCCCAGCCCTGAGGGCGAGCCCCTGGCCGACCCCCGCCACCCACACAAAATGTTGGCCCGGGTGCTATTGCCCATGGCAAACCAGCAGGACTCGGGGAATCATACATCGGTGGACCGATGTGGAGAACCACACACCCAGCCTTCCAAATCAGACCATTCCCGGAGTAGAAACTCCATTAAGTCAGCAACTGAGGAACAGCCGCACCATGGAAATGATCGATTACAAAAAAACAATAGGTAAGGAAATGTTGCCAAAGGGAAATTGGCAAGGCACGTGCTCACTGAAACAGCGGTTGCTACATCCTACCCACGAGCAAAAGGTGTTTCCAGAAGTATGAATCATGAAGATACTGAATCATCTTAATATAGAAAAATGACGTGAAGTTACTGAAACAGAGAAGACCCTCCATTTCGTCGTGGAATACGCCAGTGGGATTGTACCAGCTGTATAGTATTGTCATCAAAATGCACTGTGCATCGTGACCTTAAGGCTGAGAAGCTTCTCCTGGATGCTGGTATGAATGTTAAAATTGCTGACTGTGGTTTTAGTAATGAATTTACAGTTGAGAGAGCAAGTTGGACACATTTTGTGGAAGCCCACCCTAGGGTGCTCCCGAGCTTTTCCCAGGAAAGCAGTACGATGGCCCTGAAGTGGATGTGGAGTCTGGGAGTCATTCGTTACCCAGTAGTCAGGGGCTCATTGCCAGTTGACGGCCAGAATTTAAAGGAACTGCGGGAGCGAGTCTTACGACATAAATACCATGTTCCCTTCTATATGTCCACAGACTGCGAAACTCTTCTGAAGAAATTATTAGTGTGGAATCCAATCAAAAGAGGCATCTTGGAACGTAATGTAGCAATGGGCTTTCTGGCACGGAGTCCAAGCTGGTTAGGAGACAGCCTTGGAGGGAACCATCCCTGTGTGCAGATAGCGCGCCGCAGAGAATGAATGAATGTTGGTCCTGAAGCAGAACAACTAAAGCCATCTCCAGAGCCTGAACCAGATGTCAGCAACACAGAAAGAACAGATGTCATGGTCACCGTGGGGTTTGCACGAGATGAAATAAATGATGCCTTAACAAATCCAAAATATGATGAAGATATGGCTACTTATATTCTTCTAGGTAGAAAACCACCTGAATGTGAAGGAGCGGAGCCATCCATTCCTCCTGCCCTGTCCTATAGCAAAAGGCCGCAGGCGAACTGTGGCAAGCAAACAGAAAGAGGCACAGGACAAAGATGTAGCTCGTAAACTTGGCAGCAGGACAGTTGGATCAAAAAGTGAGATGACTGCAAGTCCTCTTGTAGGGCCAGAAAGAAAAAGCCACCAACCATTCCCAGTCACAACGTATATTCTGGGGGTGACACGGCAAGGAGGAACACATATGTCTGCGAAGTGACCCCAGATCAATAGGTGGCATTGCAGAATGGAAAAGACAGGAGCCTTACAGAGATGTGTGTCTGCCGCAGGCTCTGCTATGGCTTCTGCTTTGCCCTCAGCACAACCTCGCCACCCGAGTAAAGTTCCACTGCCAGCCATTAAAGAGGGCGCTGAAGTGTACCAACCTGGTACAAGGCAGAGAGTGCTGCTGCCTCCAGGTCTGCACAGGGGATGAGCCACCCTGCAGACCACAAGCGCTGTCCCCAGGGAGGTCCAGCCAAAGCACTTCCCAAGGTGAACAGCCCAGGAGCACTGGCAGAACTGCCTGCAATGGGCCACTCACTTCTCCTTCACCTGTAAGGGAGCGATTTCACACGCTAGGAAGGGGACGTCTACTGGCATCATCAGCAAAATCACATCCAAATTTGTCCGCAGAAGCACATCAGGAGACCCCAAAGAGAGAGACACAGAAGAGGGTAAAGACTTCAAACCGCGTCTCTGCGATTCACAGGGAGTATGAAGACCGCTGCTTCAATGGACCCCAGTGACCTGATGCCAGAAATGTGGAAAGTGTTAGATGCAAATAACTGTGATTACCAACAAAGGGAGAGGATCTTGCTCTTCTGTCTCCCTGGAGACACTAGACAGGACAGCCTCATGCAGGAGGAGATGGAAGTCTGCCAGCTGCCTCCGCTGTCCCTTAACGGAGTCCCTTCAAGCAGAGAGCGGGAACATGTATTGCCTTTAAGAACACTGCCTCCAAAATAGCACATTAGTTTACCTGTGAAGCAGCCCACGCTGACAGGATGTGGAAAATAACGCCCATCTCTGAGTACAGTTTTTGAATGTACTGGTGATGCCGAATGTGATTGGCCTATGTAGACTCTTCCCTTAATGTAATAAGGTTATACATAGTGATGAACTGTAAAATTAAAGTCAGTATGAACTATAATAATTATATATAGCTATAAAGCATAGGTTCACATGTACAGGTAAGTATATTGTATATTTCTGTTCATAGAGTTGTATATTAAAACAAATCGTTGATTTAAAAAATCAATTGATGTATTGCAATGGGTAAATATGCTGCACAAGACTTCTTTATAAAGTTTAAATAGAAAAAATTTCACCTTGAAAACTAATGTCCACCAGACTTAGGCAATGGTATGCATTGCCTCATATGCATGTGAAAGTTGGACAAAGAATAAGGAACAGCACAGAAAAATTGATGCCTTTGAATCATTGTGTTGCTGGAGAATACTGGGGGAACTGTGGATTCCCAGAAGAGCAAATAAATTTGTCTTGAAGGAAGAACAACCAGAATGCTCCTCAGGAACGAAGATGGCAGCATATTATCAGGAGAGACCAGTCCCTGGACAAGGACACCATGCTTGGTAAAGCAGAGGGTCATGAAAGGAGAGGGATAATTTCAGGGAGATGGATTGACACAGTGGCTGAAACCATCGGTTCAAACAGACAATTGTGACGATGATGCAGGACAAGGCAATGTTTCTTTCTCTTTTATATAGGGCCCCTATCAGTCATAATTGACTCGACAGCACTTAACAGCAACAAACTTTGAGAAAATAAACGTCTGTCTGTCAACGCCATCTACTTGCAATATTTCTAAATAGCACCACTAGATAACGCAGACATAATCTAAGGGGTGTTTATGTTAGCTGAAACACACTGCATAAATCCAAGGGAGGAACAACTCCTCCTCTGAGATACGTTCAAGACTCCAAATGCACCCCCATTTACAGCACAGTTTAATGTCCATCATTTGACCATGGAGACACAATCAAGAGACCAGCACGGTGGTGTGGACTACATACCCATTAGTCCCTGACCATGAGCTTCTCCTTGGTTTTTTTGCCTGACCCACAAGAATAACATGATAGATGCTAAGGAACTAGATAAGCCAACAGAAGTCACTGATTCATTCTTCGATAATACATTTGTTTCTGCAGGTGTTTTTTCAGGAATGACCAAGGTAGAAAGGCCAATTGGTAACTTAACCCACAGAATGAGAGGAGACAGGACTGGCCACTTGGGTCCTTCAGAACCACCACCATTCTCCACAGTGGGGAAGAACAAATGAGACACAGACGAGTCAGGGTCACATGGGGAAACAGGAGCTGAAGTAAACCATCCCTCCCTGTTCCAAAGGGCTCCACTGTCTCCCAGGTAGAGAAGCAGGAAACCAAGCTCAGAGTGACAGATCTTGGAGAACAAGAGAACGTACACATCCTTAGTCCATGTCCTGAGCAAGTTTCAACCACACAAAAGCCCTCCCCTGTGGCTCAGATCAGCTTTCCAGAGATTGCCTGTGTTATTGCTGTGATCAGCAGGGTGAGGCCACTGGTGCAGGACCCCCAGTCCCTGCTCTGCCACATGTGTGTGTGTCCAGTGGACGTGAGAGGGGATACGCAGGAAGATTGTAGGAAAATCAAAGTGATCAATCTTACATCGATTTCTCATTTTATCATCTTAACTCTCCCACAAAGACAGTAGAATTAGTTCCATTTTCAAATTCTAAATGAAAGTAATCAAGGGGTTGAAAGACAAGTTCAAGTTCAGACATACTTTATTTCCTCCTCTGAGCAATGAGAGCCACCTTCCATGTTCTTGTGGCTTCTCTGCCCTCCCTTCACCCATAAACCTCACCTGCTCTCCGTTTGCTTCTCCCATCTCCACATATCAGGCACCCAAACCAGTACCAGATCGCTACAGAGCTAGCATGTTTTCTCACTCACCAGCTCCAGGAAGCAAAGATCTTTCTGGTGTCAGAAGCAAGCTTAGACTGTTCCCGGAATACAGCCAAAATAAAATAAAATAAATCAGAGTCTGGAAAAGGACTGGAAAAATTCTTCAACTCTGAAGCATTCCACAGACTTGAACTCACACAGGAAACCCAGGTCCTGTGTGCTGGGGTGGTTGCACAGGGAAAAAGTTGACTAAGTCTGAGTGTGTGGCAGCCTAAAGAATCAGTTAGCTCCACCCTTTAGATCTTGGCCCAATTGTTGAGGCCTGCATTTACAAGAAATGAAAATGAAACCAGGCTAAGCTTGCTGGCTGCTTTCTGAAGATCACGTGCAATTCCAGTAAAAGAAAAATAAACATATTTTGACTTCAAGTGGCTCATGGAATGAGGGGTGGACAAGATGCCACTAGGGATCAAGAGAGCCATGATTCTCACATCTGGGAGGCTGGGGTATTTAATTTATTGTGCCAACCTGGACAATAAACACATATGGGGGTTAATTGAAGGGAGGAGGGATAAATGGCTCAGTGAGCCTTGCCTTTCTAGTTCTCGGGTCTCTTGCTTTCTAATAGTCAGACCAGAGTGCAGCTGCCTTCACCAGTTCCCTGCTTTATCTGGGAAGTCTCACTTCCTGCAAGACATCCCTAAGGAAAAGCCACATGGACCTACCCCGATACAGCCCTGGGTGCTGGAGCACCTGTGTGGAGACCCCTGCCAGTGCTGAGATGCTTCCACATTCACTGACTTGGCATTCCTCCTGCAGTTGGCATCACTGCATCTGTTTTTGAGATGGAGGAGGACTTTGTGGATTGGTGTTGGACATATGGGTTAATGTTGGACTTGTGGGCTTGGGCAGCACTGGGTTGGGATGTTTTCTTGATGTGCACTTACCCTTTATATAAAACTTTCTCTTATAAATGAGTTTCTGTAAATTTATTTGTCTAAAGTACCCAGACTAATACAGAGGCTAATCAAGATTCCTATATAGATGGGGCTCAATGAAGAGACAGAGACTCACTGGGGAGGGGTGACAAGGGTGGGGAGGCTGTGAGACATTTCCTAAAACTTCCAGTAAATGAAGTAAAAGCACTTTCCACCAGAAACAAGAGGGTCTCAGATCGAGAGGAGATTATGAACTTTGACACCCTTCAGGCCTGGAAGTGAATCCACCCTGATGGCTCCATTTCCAGCCAAAAAGAGACAGCTATTAGGGGGACAGAAACACCAGGGAGATATGCACATTCTAGAACAAGTAAGAATGTGAGATCACAGGGGTGGTGGTATTTAGGCAAGGACAAGGTTCAGGAGGGTTCAGGAGGAGAAAGGAAAAAGCAAACACAGGAAGGAAGTGGTACAAACGCTGCTCCATTGATTCTTCTATCAAAAGGTGTCTTCCTTTCTTGCATTCCTGTTACAATCCAATCTGGTTTAAATCGTTGTGCAGTCATCCCTAAATTACTACAAAAGCCTCCTAAATTATAATTATTGCCCTTTTCATTCCCCTCCTCTAATTCATTCTTAATACTGCTGTCAAGATAATGGTATTCAAACCATTTTATTGTCATTTTCTAGTTCAATTTCTTTAATATCATACTTTACATACAAGATAAAATATGAACTCATTAGCTTAGGTCCTTGAAATAATTTTTCAGTCTTATGTCCTATTTTTTTGTAAGTCAGAGATTCTGTTCTAGTAAGATGAATCTTATGCTGTTAGCTAATACCTCCAGGACGATATTAAATAAGAGTGGGGAAAAGGCGCATCCTTGTCTGGTCCCCTTTTTCAGTGGGATTGGGTTAGTGTTTTCTCCTTTGACTACCACGTTGGCTGTTGGATTTTCATATATAGCTTGTATTGTCTTGAGGAACTTTCCTTCCATTCCTATCTTCTCAAGTGTCTTAAACAGGAAT